AAAAACACACACACACACACACACACACACACACACACACACACACACACACACACACACACTCACTCACTCACACTGAAATAGTGACAGAAGGGCAGTTAGACATACACGCCGTCAGAAAAACAGACTCAAATCAACGAAACCTTCTTCGAAACAGTACCTACCTACCTCCTGCCTCACTCCACACCACAGTACGGTACAAGGTACAAGTTACCAACTTCACCGAACCAAACGACCTTTCCTATCGGATATCGGAGATTGACGTTAAATTCGGAGGCCCTGCCTCCCAAATAACCTGATAGTGTTGATCCGAGCGTTAAACACATTCACTTACATATATTAAGCCACATTCACATAACCACCGTACGCGGGTGGTTGGCGGGTGCTTTGGTGTGGTTTGCTCCTTTTTCGCTATGGAACGTCTATCGATCGTCCTTATCTCTCCTCCTTTCCTATGCTTCTTACTCTGTCTTGTAACACCTTTGATAGTCGGCACTTACATACGACCTAATTGTGTTTCAACTGTCGTAATGGTTGGAGGGTGCCTCTGGCTAGTACTACTTATTTACTTTCCCTCTGTTATTTCTGTCTCTGTCTCGCTTCCTTTTCCCAGCAACGACTATTGTGTCGATGTGCTTCTGTTTACTCAAATAAACAAAAAAAAAACCCACAAAAAAAGTGTCGTAATACGCTAACTCAAAACTACCGGCCGTACCTCAAGGTATATATTGAGCCTGAGCAGGTTCTGGCGTATAAGATCCGAGGCCTCTTTGGCCATCTCTTTCTCGGAGAGCGAGTAGCTGGTAGTGAGGATGTCCTTGTCGTGACTGTTGTTGCGGGCCAGGGCCTGCTGCTGTGGGTGCGCTAGGCGGGACAGAAAGTCTTGGGCAATCTTCATGAAGTGCTGCTGGTCCGTCGGGTTCTTCTGGCTGAAGAATCTCTGTTTGGGGTGGGGGTAGAGATTAATGAATATATAGATGGGAGAGGAGGTTGATGGAGGGGGAGAGATAAAAGGGAGGGAGGGATGGAGGGAAAGTGGAGGGAGAGTTAGGAAAGAGGGAGATAGAGAGGGAAAGAGAGTGAGAAAGAGTTAAGAAATAAAGGGGGGTTGGAGAAAGGGAGGGCAGGAGAAAGGGAGAGAGAGAAAGAAAGAAAGAGAGAGAAAGAAAGAGATGGAGAGAGAGAGAGAGAGAGAGAGAGAGAGAGAGAGAGAGAGAGAGAGAATGTGTGTTGCCTCAAGGATGAAAATAATCGCAGCGTCTCTAAGAGATCGTTAAATAATATTATATGCATGTACATATAATACACTATGGACTTGGAAAGCAAAGCTGAAATGTTTCGATAACTTTTCAGAGAAGACATTGTATGCAAACTTGTTCACGATCAGTCTTTTCTTGTATTTCCCAAAGCTTATATGAGATCTCAAAATTATGATAGAGAACACGTTCTTATCCAGTAATCATATTACTAACTTTCTTTGTTGAAGTTTGTAAAATTCTTTTTTTTTCTTTGTGGTAAACTCGATTCCGGTTTATTGATATAAGAACTAAAACAGAATAATCATTTCCCTCCACAGTACCAGTTTCCTGGCTACTGAGGTGATCAAATAACTTTTCTTTTTTTCAACATGACTATTTTGTGTTTTTCTTAGATTTACGTTTAAGTCTTAACTTTTCAAATGTTCTTTTTTTTTTGTAAGGAGGTCGCATCGAAGACACCTTTTGTCAAATACAAAGATCACATCATTATAAGGAAAATTTGAACGATGAACAACATTTATACCCGACACGAAATCTAATAATATAACTTGTACTTTGAAAGAGTTTCAATGACGGGAGACTTGTCTCTTTCTCTCCCTCACCTCCCCCCCCCCCTCTCTGACTTTCTCTCTCGCTCTCTCCACCCTCTCTCTTTTTCTCTCTTGATGCCCTCCCCCTCTCTGTCTCTCTGTCTCTGTCTCTCTCTGTCTCTGTCTCTCTCTCTGTCTCTGTCTCTCTCTCTGTCTCTGTCTCTCTGTCTCTCTGTCTGTCTGTCTGTCTGTCTGTCTCTCTCTCTCTCTCTCTCTTTCGGTCCATCCATTTATTCATCTTCTCAGTTACCTATTTCTCTTTATCGATGGAAAGGCTATCACGGAAATGATACGACTTCTCACAATGATTTTAGTACCATCTGAATACAGAAGAGACCACAGTACATTATGCGCTTCTCACACAATACACTGAACTGATAGCTAGCTAATTTTGCACCTTATTTTGGGTAACAGCGTTAGCTGTTTACCAAGAGAAGTGTGAGATGTTATCCTTATTTTATTACTATTTTATTTTTTACTTTTTCTCTTATTCCGGAGCCGCTCCACTGAGTTCAGAAACAGCCCAGACGGGTGATGTTTGGCCACTAATGAGATGAGAGCGATGGCTCTTTTGGTGACGAAGACGTTGGGGATATTGACCAAAAGGTCTATTTAGGTGATGACTGTTATAGCCGTTTGGGGTTTGGGGGTTTACACACACACACACACACACACACACACACACACACACACACACTCAGACACACGCACACGCACACACACACTCACACTCATATATATTCACATTTATGTATATATGTACACACATACCTATCTATCTGTCTATTTGTCTATCTGTGTTTCTGTATCTATCTATCTATCTATCTATCTATCTATCTATCTATCTATCTATCTATCTATCTATCTATCTATCTATCTATCTATCTATCTATATACAAGTTATATACCCAGTGTCTCGCCACCCTCGACCCGCCAATTTACCGGAGTGCTGTGTGCACAACTTCTCAGACTCTCCTGTTTACGTCACGTGATAAATAGATCCACGGGGTCTGTCTCATTTCATGCCCAGTCGCTTTCTCTCTCGTTCCCTCTCTCCCCTCTCCCCCTCTCTCTCTCTTTCTCTCTCTCTCTCTCTCTCTCTTCCCCCCCTCTCTCTCTCTCTCTCTCTCTCTCTCTTTCCCTCTCTCTCTCCTCTATATATATTTCTCTCCTCTCTTTCCCCCTTCTCTCCCTCGTGTTTCTGTCTTTTTCTACCCCTCTATCTCTTCCACTATGTCGCTCTCATTAACCCCTCCCCATCTCTCTCTCGCTCTTCCCCTTTCCCTCTTTAACCTTTGTTTGCTCTCTACTTTCTTTTATTTTGGGCTGTTTACGCTTCATTCCATAGCGTTAATGCCGGCGAAGTAATTTTATTAATCTGTCTTTTAGCCCTTTATTCCCTGAACGGGGGTGTTTGTAATGCCTCTAGATTTTGCTTCTTTTATTCTGTTTCGCTGACTATTGCGTTGGAACGTCTTTGTCGAGTGGATTCCTTTTTGTTTTCTCCTCATCTCAGTTGATTTATTAGGGCCTGTAATTTTGGTGTATTCTAGTGTTATTGTTGTCTTTGTTGTTAGGAAAACCAAAATGCACAAATAAAAACTGAGTCTATTATATGTGACCGTTACTAACCGCCACATTTATCAGCATCTCTTTCTCTCTCCCTCTCTCTCTTTCTTTCTTTCTCTCTCTGTCTCTCTGTCTCTCTTTCTTTCTCGTTCACTCACTCTCCCTCTCTCACCCTCCCTCCTTTTCCCTCTCTGTCGCCCATTCTATCTCTCTCACACCTCATTCTCTCTCTACCCCTTCCTCCTCGTATCTCTCTTTCACTGCGCCTCTCACTCTCCTTCTGTCCCATTTCTCTTCCTCTCTGTCTGTCCATTTCTCTTTCTCTCTCTCTCTCTCTCTCTCTCTCTCTCTCTCTCTCACTCACTCACTCTCTTCGTGCCTGTACGTCTCTATCTGTCTGTCTGTCCCTCCCTCTCTCTTTTTCAGTCTCTGTCTGTCTGTCTGTCTCTCTACTCTCTTTCACCATCCCTAGTTTTATCTTTCTGTTTCTCTGTTTGTGCTCCTCCCCCTGCCTTCTTTGTCTTCGTTCTTTTCTTTTTTCCCCCGTCTACCCCCCCCCACTCTCCCCTCAATCTACACCCACCCTTTTGGTCTGAAAACTGACTTACCTCTAACGCGCTGAGCTGATAAAACTCCAGGGGCCAGTAGGAGAGGGAGACTGACTTGAGGTATGACGTCTCGCTACAAGGCTGGTAGCAGCCGCATTCCGTCTCGTAGGAGCGGTCGTTGTTGAGCTGTTTCTGCACGCGCGCCTCACACGCCAAGGAGATGGTGGGGATTGTCTGGTTCATCTTGTACCTGGTTGAGATAAACCGGATATCTGCTTTATGTGGGGTTTACCTTATGGGGACGAAACCGGATTGTCTGTTTCGTCTTGTACTTGATGTGGCAAAAAAACAAACAAACGGATAGACATTTTAAGTAGACTGTACCTGGTGAGATGGAAACTGGATAGATACATTGTGTTAGGTTTATAAGGTCGAGATAAAACCAGAGTACCTGTGTCATCTTGTACTTGACGGGGTTAAAACTGGCATGACACTTCATGTGGGTATTACCTGATAGGGATAAAACAGGATAATTCCACCAGGACTGTAAACGTTTTACGCCCGTATAGGCGCAGTCTAGATCATTTAAGAGGCTGGCTTCTTTGGCCGTTCTTGTCATAGTCAACGGACGTCAAATTGGGACTCACCATCCGAAAAGACAGTAGAGACTGTCGATTGCGTTATAATCTTCCAGCCTCACGAATCGGAATCACTCAGTGCGCATGCAACTGCTAGGAGCCTAATGTCATTTCACCACATTTACATCCGGTTTATGATGGAAAGCGTGAAAGTGACGAAGAATGCAACTTCACCTTTGGAAGTAATTGCCGTTCTATGTCTGGGAAGTCGTTAAACTATTTGCTGCCACGCACACATGTTAATATGTAATCATTGAGAATCCCCTTCTGACGTCAGTTGAAAGTGCCTCTACTTGAACTAAAGATAAAGAGGTCGTTGGTATGATGCAGATGCTCCCTGAATGGTTTTTAATAATAAGAAAAATTCTAAGATCGATTTTGGGGTCAGGTATTTCGTCTCTAATTTCGCCCATTTTGAAAAAAATCCCAACCCCCTCCCTTGATATTGTGTTGTCTGTATATTTTAGTAATTTTTTTTGGAACCGTTAACCTTTGAGCTTCCAGATGAAACGCAATGTTCTTGTTATTCGTAAGTCAGCCTTGATAGCCTTTACGATGTTACACAATCCTTGTCGGTTTCAATTCTTTTTCTTCTGGATCGACCGGCATCTGTGGTGTAATGGTTTGATCTCTGGTGTTGTTTGCAAAAAACGTGTATTCTTTTCCAGGGTGAGGCACGTGTTTTATCGAATACCTCCTTATGTTTGCCGAGATGCCTTTTTTCAGTCAATCTGGGCTGTACTTGACAATCACAGTCGAATGAGCCCGTCACCAAAATTATTTAAAATTCTGTCGATAAGGACATATTTATATCAATTTAAAAACCTGTCTATGTCTGTCTGTCTGTCCGTCTGTTCGCCAGTCTGTGTTTCTGACGCTCTATCTCTCAGTCTATTCGTTGATCGATCAATATCTCGATCAATCTATCAAATGTTTATGTACAGAATTGCGAGAGGTATGAAGAGTCCAGAGGTAGTTCTTGCTTTTAAAAACCCCTTCTCTGTTGTTTCTCTCCGCACAGCTAGTTTTTAAAAAGCACCAAATAACCCTTCCCATTCCGTTGTGCATATTTCTTTCACTGTAAGAATAAACAGGAACAAGATAACATAAAACCATTTCCCAAAGAATTTTTAAAAAAGGAAACAAGACTGGAAACAAGACGCCCCCCCCCCCCACCCCCAAGAAAAAACAACAACAAAAAAAACAAAAAAACAAAAAACGAACAACAACTAACTTTTTCGTACAGGCAGACAAAGTGGACTTACTCTCCTGTGACGTTTCTCCGTATATCTTTCCAGTCCGGAATGACTCCGCAGAATGTGATGTTCTCCACGCTTAAATCCGGAAGGGCCGAGGACTTACACTTACACTCCCTAATGAGCCTCCTCTGCTTACACAGCTGCAGGCAGGCGAAGAATGTGTTGCGGTACGTCTGGATTCCCTCGAGTGAGTCCTCGGTGCAGTTGCCGTACGGCTCGGAAAGGCGCGTGTGGAGCAGAGCTTTCAGACCAACAGAGGATGAGTACCCGGGCGGGATGTCGAAGCCGTGGTCCACCGGGCTGGGCATGGAACCCGGGGCGTGCACCACCACGCGTACGCCGGCGCTGTGTAGGATGTTGTTCTCGAAATTGTATACTCCGTACGTCCCGGGAAGCGGTTCATCTTTCTCTATAGATATGATGAGCGAGAGCCCGTTTTCCGGACCAGTGGCGTGCATCTGTAGCTGATCTCGTAACTGGCCTCCGTTGAAAGTGAAGCAGTTGAAGTAGTTCCCGTCGAAGGAGGACGTGAAGTTCTCCGTCGTGCACTCTTCTCGATTGAACCGGCAGTGAATGAGTAGGTCACGGAGGTCATGGCTGATCTTCTTGGCGTCCGAGCCCAAATTCTCGTAGAACGCGCGGATGCTGTTCATGAAAGACATATCCTTGAAGTGAAACGTCTGCGTGAAGTTGAGCCAGTCTTTCAAGTTCTGACTCTCGTTCTTATTGTACGCCTTCCGAATCTTCCTCAGCGAGATGGGCTCGATGTTGCAGATAGTCACCGACGGGTACTCCACGGGCATGCTGTCTTTAATCTCGGACAGCTCGACCACCTGGAACTGCAGGTACTTCCGCACCAGGAGCGAAAGCTGCAGCGTGGCCGCCGTGAAACCGATGATGACCATCAGCGCCCAGATGACCTTCCGCTTGGTGTCACGTGACGTGACGATCTTGGCCAGGCCGTGGGCGTTGCTCTCCGAGCCCAGCTCGGCGATGAGGCTGATGGCGGAGCGCTGCGTGTTGTACTCCTGGTAGCTGTGGTGGTGGTGGTGGCGGCCGTGGTGCCGGCTCCTCACCATCGTGTACCGGTGCTCAGGAACCATTCCCGACTTGGCCGAGACGCTCGTATATTTCATGTGATCTGCGCTCGAGTCCCTGGAGCGTGGAAGAAACAGAGGGAGAAAATGACAGAGTTTATTATTTATTTATTAGTTTAACTCGTTGAATACGACGTGTGTGGACGCACAGTCAGATAGAGTGAGGATGATGGCTGTATTGTATCGGTGCCAGTTTATTTATATTAAATATTTAGTGATTTTTGTTGTTGTTGGTGTTTTTGTTGGTATGGTTGGATTTTTTTGTCGCTGTTGTTGTTTTCATTGATGTTGTTGGTAGTTAACACTTCTTTCTGTTATTTCTTTGTGTCTTATTTTCCATCTGCACGAGAAACCCGTTATTGTGTCAATGCACTTTTTAATGTTACTTAAACATATTGTTTTTTATTTTTGTTGCTGTTGTTGTTGTTTCTGTTGTTGATGTTGTTGTTGTTGCTGCTGTTGTTGCTGTTATTGCTGTTGTCGTCTACGTTATGTTATGGTTTTCCCAATCACCGAGTCCAACCTCTTAAAATGTATTGTACAAAACAAAAGGTGTTTTTTTAAACCGGCATTCTGACAGACATGCTCAGCGATAACAATGGTCCAGCCATCGACAAATTCCTTAAACAAAGGATAATTAAGAAGGCATAAACGAGACAAAGCAAAACAGCATCCAGTAAGGCCAATTGTATCGACGTTATCCACAGTAGGGTGATTGTGTGCACATTTTATTATGTGCAAGGGAGGGGTGGGGGGAAGCTCGATGCTTTTTGGTGTTGATGTAAACCCAGTCAACGACTTAGTTTGACCTTGGTCTGGCTCCCCGTCGTCACACGATTGTCTCCCCGTGGGGTGGTGAAACTGGTTAATGGAATACATGATTGAATGAAAAGTAGGCGCTTCGCCCTGGCTGTACCGTAAATCTATGTGTATTACTTTTCCCAACTGTGATAACTATTCGATTTAGAATCATTGTAAAGCGCTCAGAGCAGAATGTGAAGCATGGATATGCGCGATACAAATGCAATTAGTATTAATAGTATTATTATTACTACCCGTGCATCTCAAATTTTGTCAACCCAACTTCCTTCTGTGAAACTAGGATGCTAGAAAAAGTAATATTAAGTAGAGGAGAAAAATTATCATAGGTAAAGAAAGGAATAATAACTGATAAATCGGTGATAGGCAACTTATTTTCCGACAAAAAACGACTTTATTTGTTAATCATTAGTTGTATTGTATAAACATGGTCCCCTACTCTAGGATTCGCCTATAAGAGGGATATTACCTATGTTTAGCTGGGGACAACTGTGCAATGTTTGGGAAACGTTTCTGGATGGATAGAGGTGAGATGGATTCAAACTCTGCTCATTAATATTCTCACCCCTGACTTCCGCATATACATTATATAGTTCAGTACCAGCTCCTCAGCAACTGGTTTGCATCACTGGCAAGTGGAAAAGAAATGGTTTGATCTCTTTTCTCTATCGGATTATACGATCATTTGCTATTCTTTTATTGCAACGAAAGAGAAAAATGCATGTAAGCTCTTTATAATATTAATTTACAAAGCGCTGTTCATGTGAGAGTTCCCTTGAGCTTGGAAAATACGTTAGGTAATATGTTGCTGGTGGAAAAAGGTATGGGATGCGTTTAACTGAACAAACAGCGTTTGTGTTAGTATACTGAGGCATACAATTAGCCCCCGTGTCGTTCTTGTTTTGTAGCAAATTATGCAATGTACAATGTTAATAGCTACGTGTGACAGTCACGTAGATTCCTGCTGTGCTTGGATGTTCCCATTTTGTGGTCTTAGACATAAGCCAAGTTCTTTTGTAACAGCAGGGGTGTAAAGGGGAAAGAGCACTGTGCTGTGTATACAGAGTAATTTGGAGTTGGCTCCGGGTCATGTTCATGCTGTGACGTTGTGTGGTGTCAACCAGTGTTTTTCTTACGGATTTTTTCCCACTCAGTTACTTATTTCTCTTTTGTGGATGGAGGTCGGG